GGCCCTATTGACTGGACTCTGCCAGAGGTAGAGTTTGCCCAGTAGTGAATCCTAGAACCCCATGTGTTCTACATGATAGCATCAACCAATTGTCCATGGGGATGAGTTATGAACCCAAGAGGTCAGAGTGCATTGCAGCGGGGTTGAGGGTTACACATTTTAAGAAGCTACGCCTCTGGCTCTGCTGTCAGCCCTAGAGATGGCACCTTTAATTCTTTCCTAGACTAGGCCAAGGGTGCCTTGCTTAATGTGTCATTTCTCTAATCCAGTAGTAAGTGGGTCTTTTACATGCAATTTTAAACCTTTCTTCACATAAAATGTTTCTTTACATAGAAGGACCTTATAATTCCTGAATGTCCTCAACTGCTCTTGAAAAGGTCACCCTCAGACTGGCCCCCAGCTTTCATATGAGTCATTATGCTAACATTTTTCCCTATAGGTTACTTGAGATCCCTCAGAAATCTCAAACATGTGTTACTACTTTGAATATTTATTTAGTTTCTGAAGGAGAAGGCTGAGCTAGAGACCTGGAGAATGAAATAAGGTATTAGTATCTACTGCCTTAATTCGTTAATTGATTGAGCACAAATGGGAGGCTGACTGTGCTCAGAGTCTTATAGAGAGTAACAAGATGAATGAGTTGGAAAGTTTGGGCAACTGGCCATCCGAAGAGAACTAGGGAAGAAAGGTCCCGTTTGTTGTCTGCGTGGTGTCCCACCAAGGACAGCACATGACGAGTACTTCTGTCACTCACAGGTGTCCAAATGGAACACACAGTTGGGTAGCCTTCTGTAACTACCACTTTCAAGTAGTCTGTGTAACAATGGCTTCCAATCTCACACTGATTTTGATGCTTGAGCCCTTACCCTCTAGAGATCTAATGAAGAGTAACTGGAGAAGTTGGATGTCTGTAGCATCAAAAGGCTCTCCAGGTGAATCTGAAGCTCTGCCGGCATTGGGCGTTTGCCACCTTCATAGACATCTCTGAGCAGGAGGCCTCTGGTGATTTAGGTTACTGATGGTATATATATATTTTTTGTGTCAGAATCATCTAGTCCCTGCACTTTAGAGTCCAGTGTTTCACAAACACACAAAGAATATAAATCTATTGACAAACACACGGTTGCCTTTGTTGCTTGGAATTTGCTGCCCAGTGCTGGCCTAGTATATAACCCATAAACTTAGACATCCACTCAACAAGCAATGCTCTTCAAGCCCCAGGGAAGCTCTGTAGTGTCAGGGGCGGGCCTGCATGACAGCACAGAAATCCAGGTCTTTTCTGAGGATAAGTCCCACTAGGCCCCACATCACACATGTTCCTTTTTACCCTTAGCCTATCCTCTTTTTCTGCCTCACAAACCAGCTAGGCTATCTTTTAGCTCTGCTAAGATGTTTTGATAAAAAAAGGAATGATCCACTGGAAGTTCATTTTCAGAAGATCTGTTGTCTTTTGATAAAGAACCCAGGGAGAAACCAACTGGTGAAAGCTGTAGCTTTGTTGGGGCTGTTAGTCTTTATTGAACCATGAATTCCCCTGGACGGAGGCCTAAGCAGAAATCCCTCATTCTTTACATAAATAAACAAATAAATAAAATATTTTGGCTGGTACCTAATAAAAACACACACAGGCAAATCAAGTTTAGCACATATTCTGGAAACTCCCAGCTTTCAAACTTCAATAAGATAGTCAGTCGTAGGGTATCCAGCCCAATTAAGGCATATACACAAAATCCCCTTTTAGCTTAAAAAATAACGAATAACAGGGTCTTTTTCTTTATTCTAGACCCTTTGATTGTGGTTTAGTGGCTAAGACTGAGATTAGTGAAGAGAAATATTACTAATCTGAAAACTTTTTTCTTGGGAGGAAAATGCCATGAAGTATCAAAATGTCCTAAGCAATTATTCAAACAACACAAAACAAAACAACCAGGCTAAAGATGATCTTCTAGCAAAGGATTTTGCCATGCTTGACTTCTGTGCTTATTTTGAAAGGAATGAGGGAAAATAGATGGGCATCATACCCCCACTCTGGCCATATGGTTTTAGTTTTATTTGGATCAGTTTGAACAGAAACTTTGAAAAGCAGAGATGACAGACACAAAGAAAGAGAAAGAAAAAGGAAGAAAGAAAGAGAAAAGAAAAGAAAACAAAGAAAAGAAAAGGGAAGAAAAGCAGCGATTGTTCAGATTTCCGGCTTTCAAATAATGCCAAACCAGGATATATGCCCAGGCTATTTTGGTCTCAAGGCCCAAGGACAAAATCACATAATGAAGAATCCTCAGCAGACATAACTTACTTTTAGTGGCATGCATTTCCCATTTTGAGTTTAGAAACTCTGGTCTAATGTGACAGAGGTACAGATTTTAAGATCTTTGGGGCCCTTTTGCTTTTGTTCAAAAGCACATCATGCTGTGATTCTCATGGGGGGTGGTTTTGCTCCTCTTAGGTGCATTCGACAATGTCTGGAGATGTTTTTGGTTGTCATAGATTGGAGATGGTAGTGGGTGGGGATGTGGAGTGGGCATTTTCTAGTCTGGAGAAATCAGAGATACAGCTAAACATCCTACAATGCTCAGAACAACCAAAAAATATCTGGCCCAAAATGTCAATAATGCCAAGAATGAGAAACCCTGACGTAATGGGCCCCCTTAGCCGACTACAGAAGTTACTGTGTGATGGACACACTCCCCGGGAAGACAGAGATTAAATAATTACAGCTATTATTCATTGATGGTTACTTGTGTACCAGATGCATCATGCACATTAACATTTTAAATTAATAGACTTTAATTTTCAGTGCAGTTTTAGGTTTACAGAAAAATTGCATAGCAAGTTCTCATATGACACCACATCCACCCCTCAGTTTTTCTATCACTGACATCTTGCATTACTGTGGTATATATACTACAATTGATGAACCAATACTGATATATTATTATTAACTGAAGTCCATAGTTTACATTAGGGTTCACTGTTTGTGTTGTACATTCTATGGGTTGTGACAAATGTATAATGTCACGTGTCCACCATTATAGTATCAAAAAAAGTAGTTTCTTATCCCTAAAATCCTTTGAGCTTCTCACATTCTTGCCTCCCTTCCTCCCCTCAAATCCTTGGCAACTACTAATCTTTTTACTGTCTCCATAGTTCTGCCTTTCCTAGAATGTCATTTAATTGGAATCACATAGCATGTAGTCTTTTCAAATTGGCTTCTTTCACTTAGTAATATGCACTTGAGCTTCTTCCAAGTCTTTGTGAGTTGGTAGTTCATTTAGTCTTAGCATTAATAATATTCCATTATATGGATATACCACATTTTGTTTATCCATTCACTATTAAAGGGCATCTTGGTTGCCTCAAAATTTTGGCAGTTATGATGAATACAACTTCTATAAACATTTGTGTGCAGGTTTTGTGTGGAAATAAAATTTCAGCTTATTTGGGTAAGTATCAAGAAGTGCAATTGCTAGACTGTATGATAAGACTATGTTTAGTTTTCTGAGAAACTGCACACTCTCTTCCAAAGGAGCTTTGCCATTCTGCATTCTCATTAGCAATGAATGAGGGTTCTGTTGCTCCACATCATTGCCAGCATTTGATACTGTCAGTGTTCTGGATTTTGGCCATTCTAATAGGTGTGTAGTGGTATCTCAGTGTGGTTTCAATTTGCAATTCCTTGATGACATAAGATATTGAGCATCTTTTTATATGTTTCTTTTTTGTCATCTGTATATCTTCTTTGGTGAGGTGTCCAGACATTTTGCCCATTTAGAAATTTGGATTGTTTATTTTCTTATTGTAGTTTTAAGAATTCTTTGTATATTTTGGACACTGATCCTTTATCAGATATGTGTTTTACAAAGATTTTCTCTCAATCTGTGGATTTTGTTTTCCTTTTCTTCATAGTATCTTTCACAGAGCAGGAGTTTTTAATTTTTATAACATCTAACTTATCAATGTTTTCTTTTAAAGGTCATGCTGTTGGTGTTGTGTCTGAAAAGTAATTGCCCACTTGAAGGTCACTTAGATTTCCTCTTATGTTTTCTTCTAGGAGTTTTATAGTTTTGTGTTTCGCATTTAGTTTGATGATCCATTTTGAGTTAATTTTTGTGAAAAATGTAAGATCTGTGTCTACATTGATTTATTGAATGTTCCTTGTGTACCAGAACATTTCATGTCTATATATATTATTTATTTATTTATTTATTTATTTATTTATTTATTTTAGATGGAGTCTTGCTCTGTTGCCAAGACTGGAGTGCAGTGGTATGACATCGGCTCACTGCAACCTCCACCTCCCAGGTTCAAGGGATTCTCCTGCCTCAGCCTCCTAAGTAGCTGGGATTACAGGTGTATGCCACCATGCCTGGCTAATTTTTGTATTTTTAGTAGAGACAGGGTTTCGTTATGTTGGCCAGCCTGGTCTTGAACTCCTGACCTCAAGTAATCCATCTGGCTTGGCCTCCCAAAGTGCTGGGATTATAGCGTAAGCCATTGCGCCCAGCCAATGTACATTATTTTTAATCCTCATACTTCTTTTCAAGATTGGTACTTTCATCATTTTAAACTTGAGGAAGTAGAGGCTTAGAGGATTAAATATCATACCTAATTTAATTATGTACTAAGTGACAGAGGTGAGATTGCAGTTAGGTGTGTCTTGAATCTGACTCCCAAAACCATAATCTTTCTACAACACTATGCTCTCTTTCAAACTGAAACAAAGATCCTTTTTGGAATGGGTTTGTAAAGTCTAATCTTTCACTCTAAAAATCCAAATCCATTTCCGGGCAAAATTAATTTTGAAATTAAATAGCTATTTTAAGCTATACTAGAATACTGAGACTCATACTGTATAACAGAAATTCAGGGCTTGACTTATCCAATAAGCTACAATGTATGCAATTAAGTAATTCAAGAAGAGACCACAAAACACTAGTGTGGACCCTCAAAATGTTGTGAATGAGACGTTTCAATAACAAAGATGCATTAAAGTACGTTACCTAACAAGTACCTGGAGGTAGGGAATCCAGTCCAACAACATCATCAGAGACACTTGCTTTCTCTCACGTTGAGTTCTATAATTCTTAGTGGGCTACGCTTCTGTCCTCGTGCTTGTTGGTTCATGACGGAAAAAATGGTTGGTCCATTCATCACAGCTATACTCTACACAGAAAGAAGGGGAAGAGAATGGCACCTGCCTCCTTCTATTTATTTTATCTGGAAAGAGAGACCCACTGATATGGTTTGGCTGTGTCTCCACCCAAATCTCATCTTGAATTGTAGTTCCCATAATCCCCACATGTCATGGGAGGGACCCAGTGGGAGGTGATTGAATCATGGGGGCAATTACCCTCATGCTGTTCTTGTGATAGTGAGTGAGTTCTCACAAGATTTGATGATTTTATAAGGGATTTTTCCCCCTTTTGCTCAGCACTTCTTCCTGCCACCATGTGAAGAGGGACATGTTTGCCTTCTACCATGATTATAAGTTTTCTGAGGCCCCTCCAGCCATGTTGAACTGTGAGTCAATTAAACCTCTTTCCTTTATAAATTACCCAGTCTTGGATATGTGTTTATTAGCAGTGTGAAAATGGACTAATACACCCTCTCACAAACTTTCCTTTACATCTCACTGTGTTACACGGCTGCTTTTAGGTATTCTGGACTCTATGATAGAGGCTGGCAAGAAACTAGAGGGCTGAAAAAAGGTGTTGAATGTATCCACTTAAAAATATCTGTGGCTGGGCATGATGGCTCATGCCTGTAATCCAGTCACTTTGGGAGGCCGAGGTGTGTGGATCACTTTAGGCCAGGAGTTCGAGACCAGCCTGGTCAACATGGTGAAACCTTGTGTCTACTAAAAAACACCAAAATTTCCTGGACATGATGGCACATACCTGCAATCCCAGCTACAGAGGAGGCTGAGGCATGAGAATCCCTTGAACCTTGGAGGCTGAGGTCATAGTGAGCCGAGATCATGACACTGCACTCCAGCCTGTGTGACAGAGTGAAACTCTGTCTCAAATGCCTTGGGAACCTCTTATCATAAAAGAGTCCTTCTCTTTCATCCTATCTCTTGCCCAACCTGTTCCTGTGTATAAAACCCCCAGCACAATGACTGCTTAAACTTCCCGTCCAATTCTGGCTTCTCTAATCATTAAGTACAGTTTTCTCGGACTATATATATTTACTTAGAGAACCACTGGAACTGCCCACAGAACCTCAGTAAAGAAGCTAGATTGGTGAAATGGGAACTGCTACTTTAGAGAAAGAGGACCTCCATTGGCTGTCGCATCGTCACATAGAAGTCATTCAGTTCAATGAATTCATAAGCACCATGTTAGTGCCAGGGAACACATCAAGAACAAAGAAGAGAAATACATACTAAGGGAAAAGGGATCCAGTTGTTACACTAAATCTCAAAAAAGCTTTCCTTTTCTCTGTGGTCATCTCCAATACCCAGTAGAGTACACACTCAGATGCATTTTGGAAGTCCTACCCAGAGTAAGCAGAGAAGAGAAAGAAAAGAAAAGACATCCAAATAAAAAAAGAGGAAGTTAAATTATCTCTCTTCACTGACAATAAGTTTCCATACCTTGAAAACCCTGAAGATTCTGCCAAAGGACTTTTAGACATGATAAATGACTTCAGCAAAGTCTCAGGATACAAAATCAACATACAAAAATCAGTAGCATTTCTCTATGCCAATAATGTTCAAACTGAGAATGGAATCAAGAATGCAGTCCCATTTACAATAGACACACACACACACACACACACACACAGAGCTAAGAATACATCTAACCAAGGAGGTGAAGCATCTCTACAAAGAGAACGCTGAAAGATTCCATTACTGCTGAAAGAAATAATAGATGACACAAACAAATAAAAAAGCATTCCATGCTCATGGTTTGTAAGAGTCAATATTGTTAGGATAAAGTAATCTACATATTCAATGTTATTTCCATCAAATTACCAACATCATTTTTCACAGAATCAGAAAAACTTATTCCTAAATTCATATGTAACCAAAAAAGAACCCAAATAGCCAGGATAATCCTAAGCAAAAAGAGTGAAGCTGGAGGCATCACATTACCCAACTTTAAACTATGCTACGAGGCCACAGTAACCAAAAAATTATGGTACTGGTACAAAAATAGACCTATAGACCAATGGAATAGAACAGAGACTCTTGAAATAAAGCTGCACAGCTAAAGAATACCCTATCCAATAAATGGTGGTTGGACAATTGGCTAACCATATGCAGAAGAATGAAACTGGACCCCTACCTCACACTATATACAAAAATTAACTCAAGATGGATTAAAGACTTAAATGCAAGACCTCACACTATAAAAATCCTAGAAGCAAACTTAGGTAATACTCTACCAGACACTGGCCTAGGCAAAGGATTTGTGATGAAGACCCCAATACAACACAACAAAAAAATAGACAAATGGGACTTAATTAAACTAAAGAATTTCTGCACAGCAAAAGAAACTATGAACAGAGTAAACAGACAATCTACAGAATGAGATAAAATATATGCACACTATGCATCTGATAAAGGGCTAATATCCAGAATCTAAGGAACATAAATAAATCAACAAGAAAAAAACAAATAACCCCATTAAAAAGTGGGCAAAGGACATGAATAGACACTTCTTGAATGAAGAAATACAAGTAACCAAGAAACATGAAAAAATGCTCAACATCACTAATAATCAGAAAGATGCAAATCAAAATCACATGAGATGCCATCTCATACCAGTCAGAATGGCTATTACTAAGAAGTCAAAAAATAACAGATGTTGGTGAGGTTGCAGAGAAAAGGGAATGCTTATACAATGTTGTTGGGAAGGCAAATTAGTTCAGCCCCCATGGAAGGCAGTTTGGAGATTTCTCAGAGAACCAAAAATAGAATTACCATTTGACCCAACAATCCCATTACTGGCTATATACCCAAAGGAAAATAAACTGTTCTACCAAAGAGACAACTGCACTTGTATGTTTATCACAGCACTATTCACAACATCAAAGACATGGAATTAACACATGTGTTTATAAACAGTGGATTGGATGAAGAAAATGTGGTACATATACATCATGGAATACTACACAGCCACAAAAAGAGAATGAAATGTCCTTTGCAGCAACATGGATGCAGCTAGAGGCCATTATCCCAGGCAAATTAATGCAGAAACAGAAAATCAAATACCACATGTTCTCACCTGAAAGTGAGAGTTAAACATTGGGTACACATGGGTGCAAAGATGGGAACAACAGACACTGGGGACTCTAAAAGCAGGGAGAGTGGGAGGGGGCAAGGGTTTAAAAATTACCCATTGGGTACTATTTTGGCTACTTGGGTGACAGGATCATTAAAAGCCCAAATCTCAGCATCACACAATATATCCAATAACAAACCTCCACATGTACCTGCTGAATCTAAAATTTAAAAACAAGAAACTAATGTATTTCATCATCCAACCTGATATATACACATATCTTTTTATATTCTCACAGGCAGTTAATACTTACAGCATGTGGACCATTATATGAGTTCAGCACTAAGACTACAAGTGACCTGATACTGAACCAAGAATGTCTTTCTAGGTCAAGATGGGTCTATGCCAGAGACATTTAAAATCGAGTGCAAGACCACTGCTTGGATATATCAGTGTAAGTGTGAGCACGTTAGTGGGGGAACAATATTGTGAAGCAGAATGATTTTTTATAAGTACAGAACACAATACATTCCTTTTCTCAAGAAGCCTACCTTTTAATTGGGAAGGTCACTCACTCACACTGACAAGTTGAAGGGGGGCATTGGGAATATAAATGCTAAAGAGATACACAGAGGGGCGATCATAAACTTGGATGGGATTAATCAAGTCTTTTAGCAAGAGGTAATATTTTCAATTATACTGATAAACGCAAGACTGCTTTTGTAGTTCAATTTGATTTCAAAGAGCTTAATTAAGAGAGTTAAACATGATGGAGGATATGGTAGACAGACAAAAAAGGAAGCAATCGTGCCTGTTGGATAAATTCATCAGTACACCCTCAGGGCCTGCCCAGGAAGAATCTCTAAACAGGAAATGAATTAAAATGAAAAGCATGGCCACCAGAGAAGAAGAGCTCAAGGGGCAGGATGAAGACAATTTGGCCCCGGGATCCTGTTGTTTCCCTAACACGTTCCCTGACTGTCCTCCTGCCAATGGACCTGCTTTGTAGCATGAAGGTGTTTCCCCAGCACTAACAAATGGTGAAGATGCCAAAAAGGAATGAAGCTTTAGCCGTCAATCTTCACTATCATTCATTTCCTAAATCTGCTTGTTTTTCTGCTTGGCTTGAAGGGAGGAGGGTTTTTTTTTTTTTTCTGCAGAACAGCCTGGTGAGAGACTGTGGCTGTCTGAAGCGTAGAGGGGGACTCGCACTGCAGATGGCACCTGGTCTGAGTGTTTCAGCTGCAGCCAGCTGAAAGTCATATGGCCAGACAGGGCATTTCACATCCTTTAACTTCATTTTGGTTCAATCAGCATTGTCCAGTGCCTACACAGAGGTTGCCCTCTAATGTGGAGGCTGTGCTGGGCATTGGGGATTAAGAGGTGAGTGCAGCATGCTTGCCCTGTGGGGTTCACAGTGGAGTCTCTAATATAAGTGTCTGAACAATGGAGGTAGGAAACCAGGAGAACACAGTGAGGGGCTCACAGCCCCCCATGAGGGTCATGGGAGACTTGTGAGTGGGCAGTAAGCATTGAGTGCCTGTAAACAGCACTTTCTAAGAATGAAAACAACTAAGCCTTTGTTTACTTATAGGAAAATAAAATGGGAATAGAAAATATCCTGTTACTAAAAAGACGATTGGCCGGGTGTGGTAGCTCACATGTGTAATCCTAGCACTTTCCAAGGCTGAGATGGGAGGATTGCTTAAGGCCGGCAGTTCAAGAGCAGCCTGGGCAACACAGATCCTGTCTACAAAATAAGTAGGTAAAAATTAGCTGGGTGTGGTGATGCATGCCTATAGTACCAGCTACTCAAGAGTGTGAGACAGGAGGATCCCCTGAGCCCAGAAGTTTGAGGCTGTAGTGAGCGATGATAGCTCTACTGCACTCCAGCCTAGGTGACAGAGCAAGACTTTGTCTCCAACAAAACAAAAG